ATTTTTTAACATTTTCTAATGGTGGTGTGCCTCGTGATTTTTTTCATGAAAAAAGTGTGCCTTTGCACAAAAAAGGTTGAAAAACACTGGTGTAGTTTTAAAAGGGCCTATTGTTTGCCTTAAACTTAGCCCAGGGTGATACCACTCAATACTTTCCAGATGTTTCACATTCTGTTCTTTCTGATCATTGGATACTAAATTCAGTCTAAGATAGATGGATAGCACCATGTAATATACTCCTGGTCTTCCCTCTGTCAAAACTAAAATACAGATATATATTTCAGTTATATAAACATGTACATCATGGCAGAGACCTCCTACGTGTCATTGTGCAGAGGCAGTTTCCCTTAAGGGTAAAGGTTCCTAACTACATTTCTTAAATGTTGATGTTCATGAAAACAGTAAAAAGAAAATAAAGGAATCATATCAGTGTAAAATTCAGGTTGATCAGAACAGTGGTTCTCATCCTTGCCAGACCATTCATTTGGCATTTTTAAAACATTTTATGGAGCTTCTTAAAAAAAATGGCTCCCCTGGGGGGCATGATTCACAAAAATGCCCAATTTACCAGATGGCCAAAAAGTCGAAGTTACTTTCTCTTACCCTTCTGTACCATAGTCATTGATTTTTCTGGAAAAATGGGTATATTGTCTATAAAGCTCAACTACCATTTCTAGTTTCTAAGAATGGCTGTGAGACTTATGGAGGCCTCAGATGTTCTTAGAAAGAAATGTGAAGCCTTCCCATGTTCTGCTGTTTGCTAATTTTCCATTTAATTTTTTAAAGTTATCTTTTTTAAATGAATTGGTGCAAGGGATATTATTACTGTGTATATTGGTTGCAATCAGGACCCTTAGGCTAAAATTGAAAAAGTAGGTCCAAATTTACCAAATTTAGTGATGTAGTAGAGAATTAGTGCTTGACAAGTTAAATAAATAAATATTAAATATGATAAGTGTCAAACCTTAGTGTATGCAGTGTGTGTTAGTGAGAGATTCTGCCTCAGCATTGTTTTTCAGCTTAAATAGATAAATACTGTTTCTCCTTGGAGAATGGTGTTAATTAAAAAGAACCACTCATTTCCATGTGGCAAACTGTTGCATACGCTTTTTATTGATTTATTGAAAGTTTTATTTTTTGTGGGGATGGCATACTTTAGTTTTATCTCTCAGACTTAAACACTGGTACTGGGGGTTTAAGAAATATGATCTCAAATCATATATAATACAGCATATGGAAACATATTTTCCAGATGTATGGTGGTATGGAGATGGCAATGTGGAAACCATGGAATATGGTAATCTGGAGAAATAATTACTGTTTTCTTATTCTGATCCTAACGTAAATAGCACTGAGTACCAGGTGAGAAAGTGCAGCTGGATGCATCTTCTAAATACATTTATTTATTATTTATGTATTAAATTTCTATGCCATCCATCTCACCTATGTGACTCTGGGTGGTTTACAATAGCATAATAAAAGCTTATAAATACATGAATAAAGTCATAGATGCAAAATAGAAAATAGAAAATTTCAAATAAAAGTAAAAATCAAGTAAAAAAACATCAAGTTACATACACATTGTTTGAATTTCCCAAAAGCGCATGCATTCCATGTTTTGGTAGAATGTTTGGAGATATTTATATTCTGTGTGCAAGGAAAAATGAACACAATGTTTTTCAGCTTTTCAAATAGATATATTAAGAATTTTCTGCCAAGATACCATAGTCCTTCAATTTCTTTCAGCATCTTTCAAAGATGAGCAGTTTTGGGCAAGTCACATATTTTCCACTGCTTAAAAAAAACGAATTAAAGAGCCAAATTACTTTTTTTTGCTGTAAGTCAGCTGTATATACTTAAACTAAATGCAGTTAATATTTGAT